TTAAAACGATATGTGATTATTACTGATTTATTTAAATAAACATGTCAAGACTGATATTTCTGATAATCAAAATTGACATCAGTAAAATCATCGGGATAAAAGTAATCGGTAATTTTACCAGAATCGTTGCAGTTTGTTTAATTTTTCAATATTGCAACATCATTGTATTTTCGCAAATTCCGAATTTCACTTTGGAATTGTAATATCTGAAATTTCGAAAAAAAAAAGATGTATGAGAATACCATTTACATAACAAATGTAATTTTCTCTTGTAACGATTACACAAATTTTCAGTATAGAAAAATTGTACCTTTTCTATTTCATTTTTAAACAAGTTTTGTTTCGTTCTAGGAGTTTTTTCGTCCGTAGTATTTATCTCAAGTTTATTTAAGGATTCTAGTAGTTCGTTGATTTTCTTGTTAATGTCTCTGCAAATTATCATCGTTTAGTTTCACGTATTTCTTATTTCTTTGTAATTTTTAATTTATAGAATAAAATATTTGTTACTCACGTCGGTGATAAAAATTTTTGTTTGTTCTTCTTTTTAAGTCCCAAATTTTTCTGTATGTTTAAATAACACATATATAACAGAAGTTACTACAAAACTTTGTAAGAAAACAATTAAACAGTTAAACAAATTAAAAAAAAAAGAAATCTCACCAATTTGGAATTTTGTTTAAATATGGAAGCATAGTCTTCAATGTCGAAACCAAATGGAATGTCATCTATTAAATGAATATTTTATTTAACGACAACATAATGTGATGAAATTCTTTTCATAATACCTTCGTTTCTTTTCATTGCCTTTGCCATAGCTTTGCTGTAACTTCTTTTATCTCGTCTCCATTCCTTTAAAACATTTTCATCCCTATGTAATAAAAGAAGGATCGTAAATTTGATGGAACATATTTTATTGAAAAACGTATACATATTATATTTGGAAAAAATTTGGAAAGATGATCTTACTTTACTTTCTGAAGTATTGCAGTTTGTCTAGCAAATAACTCTCTTAACTTGGAGAACCATAGTAAACGATGTTCTACTATAATGTTTGGACCTTTGTTTTCACATCTAAATCGAAAAATCAATCAGTTTATATTGATAACGATATGTATGTAATAATTTAGCTATTCGTTTCTATAGTATGCAGTTAATTCAACTATTTTTTTATTCCTACATAATTTTCCAAACATAATAACATCCAATCTGGATCGTCTAATCTCATAGGATTTAATTTAAATTTCTTTCCGTCGTTGGTAATAATATCAAAAATATATTCAGTATTTTCTTCCTTATGTTCATACCTCTTACTGTTTTCTATTAGTGTATTATTTCTGGATATGTTATTTCTTGTTCGTATAGAATCATCAGGTGTAATTCTATTAATAATTCTACACTCTTTTTCCATTGATTTATGATAAGTTTTCAAAGTTTTCACGTTTTGCCTGACGTAAAGGGACCGCGGAGATGGGCCCATCAAACGTAAAATTTTATTCTCCAGTTCATCGGTATCTACTTTGCAGTTGGCAGTATTTATATTTTCAAATGTACGTTTATTATTATCTAATTTTCTATGAATTTTATAATTGCTTGTTTTTTGCAAATAGAAATCATAAAACGACTTGGATGTTTTTTCTAACCAATGATTATTCAGAAATTCTGACTTTTCATCGAAATACCTGTTACTGGGCTTATACAATTTACGTTTCTCTCTTGTAGATACATTTCTGTTAGGAACAACGTCTTTTAACGGCATAAGTTTCTTCTTTCGCGGGGACTGGTAACACAGAATCGTCGACAATTTTGGCTCGATTTTACCTGAAAGGAAATAAAAATCGATTCTTTATCAAACTTTAAATATATCTTTGACAAAAGTACAACCTACTTTCTTTGGGTTCGACACGTTCCTCGGGATGCGCGTTGTTCCACTCGATTCGTAAGAATGTCAAAATGGCCGCGCAACCGGAAGCCACGATGTCTTTCGGTGGCATAACCAGGGGATTCTGTGTCACTTGAAGTGTTCTCAGATTTGGCAGGGTGCCTACAATAAGATTAAATGTTTCTGGCGAAGTGTCAGATACGCTCTCACGCAATAAGTTTGTTTGATAAGGAGAAACACATGGTCAATATAGAAAAGTATATATTGTACAATGATTGATATCGCGGGCAGATTCATGCAACCAAAACTGCACAAGCTTATCAGCTAACAACTCAGGGCTTCAATTATGCAACGTTTCTGGTTTCTAGCCCTGTCACTTAATTAAACTAAAAATTAAACCTACGACTAAATGCCTGACATTATATTAATATAACTTAAAATATGATAATCCTAGGAATTACGTTCAACTTGATACTCTTTTGAAAGTACATATTTAAAGAGATCGTTTACATCTTGTAATTTTACAAGAAGATACTTTTTTAACGAATGCTTACAAAGTTCTAATGGTAAATATTCCACTTTATTCTGCTGAAGTAGAATCGTTTGCAAGCACGTATGCCGCTTAATGCTAGCTGGCAAAGAAGAAAGTTGATTATTCCTGACATCTAACCATTCCAAGTATTTTAAAACACTGAAAACTTCCCCTGGAACCTCGATCAGGTTGTTATTCGACAAATATAACATCTGGGGGACAAAGAACAAATGATTTCAAAATGCAAAGTCTTGCTTCCGTCTCTGCTAATATCTCAGTGCAATTACTTGAGAGAAAGTAAGGTACCCTTAATTGCGAAAAGTTGCTCAATATTTCACCGGGGAATTGCTTCAAGTCTGTACTAGAAAAGTCTAGAAATACTTCGTTGCAAACAGGTTGCTTTTTTGATGCTAATGGTGGTAAGCTTGCACTACTCTTCGAAGATTTTCGCGATTCTTTTGCTGTTGTCGACGAAGCATCTGAAGTATTGTCTGTAAAAGTGTCCTCGACAAATGATAGGTCTAAATCACTTTTGGCGTTATTCTTTGCTTCGTTTATTTCTGCAATAACAAATGCAACGTGTAATTTTTCATCTAGCGTTATTAACACACGTTAATACCTCGGTCCTCGATATACGGTTTAATACAATCTGAAGGCAAATCGCCTGCAGATTGCTCAGGTAATTGCTCGTGTGATTGCTCGGTTAACACATTTTCGAAAATATTGCACATAATATTCGGGCCAAAATCGATATCCTTCAGGTCGAAAGTTTCACCGCTATCGCACGCATCCTCCATGCTATCTAAAACTCGTGAAGATCTTCGGTACGACTCGCTCGCAATACTTAATTTCCGATTTTCATCTTCGTCTTTCTGCGAACGATCACGGAAACATAATCTTTCGCTACGTGAAATTAAACGGACAATTAGAAATTAGAAATCATACCTGAACTTCTTCGTCAGACGCATTCTCCTCGTTGGTTAAGGAAGCTTGCTCAGCAACCTGTTTCTCTTCTTCGTTCTTTGCATTCTCGACGCTACGATGAATCGACAAGCATCTGTTGCCACGCGAGTCTGCCCCGAGCCCGTAATACTGCGACAATAAATCTTTAGCCAAATCGGACATGACACGCTGAATAAGTAGTTTTCCTACTTTAGCGAAAGAGAAATCGTTCTTAAGAATCAAGGATGATGGCTCGACAATGGTCAGCTGGATCGATTGTAATTTTTGTTTATTCATTACCTAGGTGACAAGATGGCATTATTTCGAACGTGTGATACATGTTCTAACGCATAACATGGTCTAAATTCGAAATTGTGAAACTATTCTACTTTTAGTGTAACACTAAAAAGTTTACGAAGTACAAAGAGATGCATCAATGAACGAAACAAATGATCAATACATCTTGTTTTATATTTAAATTAGTAATTTTGTTTTAATTTCAAGCTCTTATTAAGTTAATTTCACGTAATTAAAGTTGAGTACAGCTCGTCATAACAAATCATAGGGGGCGTAGAAAACGCTTAGATGTCGGTACTTGATGGAGGTTTAGTTCAGTCCACAGAGTGCGCTGGTGTAGTGCAGTGTGACAGGGCCATGCGGCGGTGCGCATTTTGCACTGGTCATTCGTTGGTGTTCCATGTTCTGGTGCGTTTCGTCTAAACAAGTTGTGTCTTGCCGTTTGTTCAGTCGTGTTCCATTTAATTTCCTTGTAACATGTCGGATTCAGAGGCGAGTAATTTGTCTGACAATGAAAGCGATCGAGGAGTCGGTGGAAGTGAAAGTGATCAAGAAGAGAATCGTTCAGTGAAATCTACAGCTGGCAGTGACGGTGGCAATATTGGCGAAAGATCGCGCAGCGTTTCTCGGAGTAGAAGCCCGTCCAGGTCAAGATCCAGGAGTCCGTCTAGGTGGCGGTCACGATCTCGCTCAGCGTCTGGGTAAAATTAATACTTTCTAATTCTATACATATTCTGTAAACAAACTTTGTTTTGGCACACATTGATTTTGTGACCTATTTTTATGTCACATGATAGTTCTCGACGTGTGGATTGCAAAAGTAGCAGAGTTTTCAAGTGTTTCGAAGTTGCGTGTCAGTATTTTGAAAGCGTTTGTGTATAATCTTTGTATAGCATACAATTCACTTGGCCGCCATATTGGCATTTTGCACAGTTGATGCAACAAATTCAGTCACTGTTTGTATAACGCACGTATTAATTGTTTTAGTATATCAAGAGTACAAGACAGAGATGTTTCATTTATTTGATCAAATGATAATACAATATTTTTTGAAAAATATACGAAAAATGATATAAAAACATACTGTTTTTGTATTGCCGCTATTAGCGACGCCATGAAGTTGATGTTATTGATAGTTAGGTCACTACAATACCAACTGCTTTTACACATTCAAACAAATTAATATTTTTGTAGTTTATGCTTTATAAATTATATACACAATTTTAATATATATATTATATCAAAGTATATTCATGTTTATATTATGTATATTAAATACAAATTTCGAAGTATTCTTCATAACATGATTTTTTTTAAAAATGAAATTATTCAAGAATTTTTTTTATTAAAAAAAATGTATTGAATCTAATAATGTGTTTCAAAATATTCTGTATAACATGACATATTTTTTTTTTATTAAACCTGAAATTAGTTAAGAATTAAAAAAATGTATTGAATATTTAGTTCAGAAGATGGTAGAGGAGATGAGGCAGAAGAAGCTAGATCTGGTGATGAAGAGATGGTGGAACCAGAGGAAGAACCAGAAGGTAAATGATCAAAAAACATGAGTGTAAATAATAAAAATAATATAAATATATTTTATTATCATTTATATTATACATTTGATATTTATTCTTTTTTAGGAGAGGATTTGGAAGGAAGTAGCGAGTATGATGAGGAAGAGGAAGAGGAGGATGATGATAGACCTCGTAAGAAAAAGAAAAAAGACAAATATCGTGACTTCATCATAGATGAAGCTGAGGTAGATGATGAAGTTGAAGACGATGATGAGTGGGAAGAAGGTGCCCAAGAAATTGGTATTGTTGGAAATGAAGTAGATGAACTGGGTCCTACTGCTAGAGAAATTGAAGGCAGACGCAGAGGAACTAATCTTTGGGAGTAAGTAGTTCAAATATTGTCAAATACTTTAATATTGTGTGTCCTTAAACTAACTTCTGTAAATTTCCTCAGTTCTCAAAAGGAGGATGAGATAGAAGAATATCTCAGGAAAAAGTATGCAGACGAATCTATTGCCACTCGACATTTTGGAGATGGTGGCGAGGAAATGAGTGATGAAATTACGCAACAAACTTTGTTGCCAGGTGTGAAAGATCCAAACTTGTGGATGGTAAAATGCCGTATTGGAGAGGAAAAATCCACAGTACTCTTATTAATGCGAAAATTCATAACGTACCAGTTTTCAAGTATGTAATCATAATTATTTCAAACTTCAATTTCAAATTAATTTCCGTTCGAAAATAATTGCAATTTAAAAATTTATTTTAGACGAACCTCTTCAAATAAAATCGGTTGTTGCACCCGAAGGGGTGAAAGGTTATATCTACATAGAAGCATACAAACAACCACACGTAAAAGCAGCTATCGAAAATGTAGGAAATTTAAGAATGGGTATTTGGAAACAACAGATGGTACCAATTAAAGAGATGACTGACGTGTTACGTGTAGTTAAAGAACAGACAGGCTTGAAAGCGAAACAATGGGTTAGACTAAAAAGAGGAATTTATAAGGATGACATAGCTCAGGTTGACTATGTTGACTTGGCACAGAATCAAGTTCATTTAAAATTATTACCTAGAATCGATTATACTAGACCGCGTGGAGCTTTAAGAACAGCGCAAAGCGAATCTGAAGCCTTAAAACGCAAAAAGAAAAGAAGACCAGCGGCTAAGCCGTTCGACCCCGAAGCAATTCGTGCTATCGGAGGAGAAGTCACTAGCGATGGTGACTTCTTAATTTTCGAAGGAAATAGATATAGTCGAAAAGGGTAAGCTTTAATGTGGATTGTTTAATTTGTTATTCGAACCATTGCATTGTAATTAATCATAAATATTGTTTCAGATTTTTGTATAAAAATTTTACGACAAGTGCGATTATCGCCGAAGGTGTAAAGCCAACTCTGTCCGAACTGGAAAGGTTCGAAGAAGCTCCCGAGGGTGTTGAATTAGATATAAGCGGGGCTCCAGGAACAGGTGCGGGCAATAAAGAAGACACGGCGATAACTCATTCATTTAGCACAGGAGACAATGTCGAAGTGTGCGAAGGTGAATTAATCAACTTGCAAGGGAAAATCGTTTCAATAGATGGAAACATGATTATGGTTATGCCGAAACATGAAGAACTTAAAGAAGCTCTAGAATTTCAAGCGTCAGAGTTACGGAAATATTTCACCATGGGCGATCACGTTAAAGTAAGTAAAGTAAAAAAAAAAAAAAGAAAAAATAATCAGTATAAAAAAAAATCACTTGCAATATATCAGAGAATTAATAGGAAAATTAATTGCAGGTTGTAGCAGGAAGATATGAGGGTGATACTGGTTTAATAGTTCGAGTAGAACAGAACAGAGTAGTTTTATTCTCTGATCTTTCAATGCATGAATTGGAAGTACTTCCAAGAGATTTGCAACTTTGCTCGGACATGGCAACAGGTGTAGATAGTTTAGGACAATTCCAATGGGGTGATTTAGTTCAGCTAGACGCACAAACCGTAGGCGTAATCGTTCGACTAGAGCGTGAAAACTTTCACGTGCTTTCCATGCATGGTAAAGTTATAGAGGCTAGGCCTCAGGGACTTACAAAAAGACGTGAAAACAGAAATGCAGTGGCGTTGGATTCACAACAAAATACTATACAGAAGAAAGACATTGTGAAAGTGGTTGATGGTCCACACGCTGGAAGAGGCGGAGAAATTAAACATTTGTACAGAAGCTTTGCGTTTTTACATTCACGAATGTTCGTCGACAATGGTGGAATTTTTGTTTGTAAAACGAGACATTTACAACTATCTGGCGGAAATAAGTCGAATATATCATCCATGTTACCTGTAACGGGATTCATGTCACCGAGAATCGCATCACCAATGCATCCTAGCGGGTTGGTAACACTCACTAATTGCAAACTAAATTACATTCCTTCTGCTTTAACCTTGTTATTTACATATTTCATTTTTTTTTTTTTTACAGAGGTGGTTTCGGAAGAGGTGGAGGTGGAAGAGGTAGAGGTCGAGGTGGCGGAGCCAGACGTGACAGAGAATTGATAGGAACAACTATCAAAATAACGGGCGGACCATACAAAGGAAACGTTGGAATAGTGAAAGACGCCACAGAGACGACTGCTCGTGTAGAGTTACATTCTACCTGTCAGACTATTTCTGTGGACAGGTCTCATATTGCAAACGTTGCGGTACTCACAAAGGATGGTGGTTTCAGTAGTTACAACAGAACACCAGCCTATGGCGGTGGGCAAACACCCATGTACGCCAGAGATGGATCAAAGACACCAATGCATGGTTCTCAGACACCAATGTACGAAAGTAAGTATTTGAAATATGTAAATATGCAAGTATATTGTTTAAATTTAATAAATTAACTTTATTTAATATTCTAAATTCGCAGATGGTTCTCGTACTCCTCATTATGGTTCGATGACTCCTTCTCACGATGGTTCACGCACACCTGGACAATCTGGTGCCTGGGATCCAGCTGTTACAAATACTCCTGCAAGGACAAATGACTTCGATGGCTATAGCATGGAAGAAGGTGGATCTCCAGGTTACGCACCAGGTTATCCACCTACTGGCGGACCGTTCACGCCACAAACGCCTGGTACGATGTACGGTTCGGAGCAGAGCTTTAGTTCTTATCAACCGAGCCCTAGTCCAGCAGGAAGTGCCACTGCAAGTCCTAGTCCTGCAGGATATGTCGCAACTCCCTCGCCAAGTGGTACTGGATACACTACTAGTCCTCACGGAGCCTTTGCCACACCTTCACCAATGGGTTACAGCCCCATGACTCCTGGTAAGTCTTTTTTTTTTTTTTTGTAAGTTTCAATTTTAAGTTTTAAGTTTAAAATATTTTCTAAACTTGTTTTCTTTTTTAAAGGTGTTGCAGGTAGTCCGTACAATCCACAAACACCAGGCGCTGGTCTAGATACTAGCGTTGGTTCCGGAATCATTGGAGGAACTGAATGGCATACCACAGATATTGAGGTTCGAATTCGTGACTCTCATCAAGATCCCGCGTTGGCGGGTCAGCAAGGTGTTATTCGTGGAATATCCGTAAGTGTTATACCGACAGTATAAACAATTTTAGATTAACAGCAAAAACAATTTTATCTTCTTTTATGATTTTGTTCCATGTTTTTTAATTTTGAACTTGTGATTATTTGTATGCGAACAGGGTGGCATGTGCGCAATCTTTTTACCTGTAGAAGATAGAGTAGTAAACTTGGTCTGCGAAGAACTAGAGCCAGTAGTTCCATCGCGAGGCGACCGGGTGAAAGTAATCATCGGAGAAGACAGAGAAGCAGTAGGCACATTGCTCTCTATAGACAATCAAGAAGGTGTAGTGAAATTGAGTAAGGACGAAGTGAAGATGTTGCACTTGCGATTTTTGTGCAAAATGAAAGCGCCAAACACATAATTCTTCATTCCAAGACAATCTTTCATTCAGTGGAAGTTTATAAAGACAATTTGTACAGTGAGAGCAAGACATTGTTTTGTAACATCTTGGAAAAAACTAAATCTTTAAATTTAAAGGATTTCTGATAAGAATCCTACAGACAGTTAACATTGACGATTTTATGTTATACGTTTTCTTATTATGTTGGAAAGTAGCACTCGAATCATGTACAATAAATAATTATTATTGTAAAGACTAGCTTTTCCTAACGTTTTAATTTTTCTCAAGATGTTAGAAAATGATGAGTATGGAGGGACGAGTTGTATGGATATACATAGATACTCAATTTTATGTAAAATACATCACCAATTGTTATACAATGTAAAATTTAATATTAATGTAAGCACAACTCTAGACATTAAAATAAATGGAATAATTTAATTTTGATCGAAGTAAATTATTCGTTATACCTATCGGAAGTTTATACACTTAAAATTATTCACTAATCAACAGTTGTTAATCTGAAATTAGCTGCGTAACAAATGAGAGAAAGCTGGGACGAAATGATCAGGGAAAACTCAAAAGATCAATATAAATTTTCCAAGGGAAATTTCTTTAAAGGAAAATCGTACTAATCGGGATATACCGATTGGAGTATGAGATCATGTTTCCTATGGTTATTTCCGGTGTTTGTTGCAACTACTCTCGTTAAAATGGAAAGGTACATAATCATAAACATCATCATACTTACTTAATCTGAGGTTTAATAGAGCGATTTAAATGATATTACTATTAATCAATAATCTGAAACTAAAATTAATATCAATTCTTTTTAAACGTATGCCGTCCGTTTGCTTATTGTTGTGAATGTTAGGGTGATGGCTGTCAATAATGTCAAACATGAACAAAACATTGGCACGGTATTATTTGAGAAAAGCGACGCTACTAAACATTGCTGGACTACGGAGGAATTTATTATTTTGAATAGTCGACGAATGTTTCAAGATCTGTTACCCAAGGTAAACTCGACCTAACCTTACTTCGCATATGATCGATGAAAGAGATACGAAGCAGTTTTAAACGATACAACACGTTAATTTGTTCGTGCTATTGATAAATGTATTTAAAAATCGTAAGACAAAAGGTTATGATCCGCTTTAAAAAAAAAAAAGCTCGAAATCCTTTTATACCGTCGCCTTTTGACCCCTCTACGAAATAACGTGATCCATCCTTCTGCCTCCCACATTCATGCTTGCACCGATTCCTCAGGTGAAAGTCCTAAATTATGAGAACGACCGATACATCGCACTGCTGATGGATTACTTTCACCTTTGTTTGGAGAGCGTGCGTAAGCTGTCGATAGGAAAAACGAAGCATCTGATGCTGAAAGCCCTGGCGGACACAATGGGCGGCTACTTGCAGGTTTACATTCTACCCCTCACCAGGCATTCCTATTACGCGGGCAACATAAAGTATCGAAACGCTCGAAAATTGTTCGAACTGTACGAACAATTGAAAGTCTTCTTACGAAGTAACGGCGCTGGCTGGTTGAATCCCTCGAAAGAGACAAAATGGACGAAAATTTCACCGATCGTGATCACGTTGCCGAGAACCTCGATCGCGTGCGACGGCATTATTACTTACTCTGCATGTAAGAATATGACTACTGCCTTTCGCAAAGTATTCATAGGTATTTGATGTTGATTGCTTCGGCTCGAAAGTTCAGGGGAAATTGTTCTGTTCGTGGGTGGAATGGGATATCTTAGAAAACTGGACAAGTTGCTATGTAAAGTGAAGAATGATGTCTTCGACAGATTCATTATTTATTTATTTATTTATTTATTTATTTATTTATTTATTTATTAGCTTCAATTGGCAACAAACGACAGATAAAACGTTTCACATTCAAGCAGAAGAAGAGACACGCTCCGAGGCACAAAACTAAAAGCACAAGTTCTAGTGAGTTCGTTCAAAATTAAGACAAATACCACTCGATACTGAGACAATAATTTTTTAAAATACATTTACTCAGGACACAAAGACGAATCTGATCGAAACGAAGAATCGATCATCATACCTCTTCCTTTCCTGGACGACGACACACAGCCAAATAGGTATATAACCACCTTTATTTCACACGCACAGCATAAACACGAGATTAAAGTCAAATTTTCCTTCAGTATCGCGTTACCTTTTAAGAAGAACACGTTGCAGTCTCTGTACAGTGAACGATCGATTTTTGCATTGGTTAAATATTACATAGCTAGCGTGAAGTGCATCGTTTCAAAGTCGAAGGCAAAAACCGAGCTGGAGACATTTAATCAGGAGTTTTACAATTGGCTGCAGCAATCCGTACGTTGTGAGTCGCTGTGATCGAAAGTGGCAATTTTTAATTATATATTACAAGAAACTTCTTCAAACTTCCGACTTCCAATTTTTTTGAAAACTCCAAATTTCCTATTAATCAATGCTGTGAAATCTCGACTCAATCGTTCCTCTAATAATAATTGATGTTTCGTCGTACCTTCATTTCATTCCACACTGTTCGACACTCTGTCGACAATCATCGGGCGACTCTCATTACCTTTCCAGGTGCAACGGCATCTCGATGATGAAAAATGGTATCCGGCGTTCGGCGGTGTGTTAAGGGTGATCGCCTCACTGGAAGAAGCTGGTACGTCTTTTCCTTATTCGCGATTTTCCACCGCGTGTTCCCCGTAACAAACCGATCGTTTCTCCATGCCAGGCGCTGGAACCGGCCCCGCGAAAGGAGGAAAAAGCGGAACTTATCAAGTGATGCCCAAAATAGGCGCGGGATCAACTGTTGAACCCGAGGAAGCTGTACTGCCTCTGTACAAAGGTGAGGAGAGAAAGCTCCAGTTGCCATCGACTTTTTTTCTATCGGTCTTTGCTTTCTAATGTTATCTCGGTCCTTCGTTTAGAAGAGGAAGCAGGAGTCACGCTGGGAACGACGGAATTAATATCGATTGCAGTGGTGAGCGCGTTGCTAGTCTGGTTACTGGTGGGCTTGAGCGTGGTCTGTTATAGATTCCTTATGAAACACACGGACGAGTCTGTCCCCTGTGAATCGCAGGATCCTCCGTACGTTGCAGAATAAACATTTTTTTTTTT